AGAGAGAGAGAGAGAGAGAGAATGAGAGAGAGAGGCAGGCTTGCCTTTTGTATTTGGTCAGCATTGAGACAAAATGACATAAAATGGTATGACATTTAAAATATTCCAGGAGATACTTGAAGAATGGGGACAGAAACTAGCAGCTACAATGTCAGCAATGATGTCTGCTTTTATGGATAGACTGTGTCCAAAAGATGTTGAAAAAGAAATAACAGATGTGAAAGAGAATACCTTGGAAGATCTGCAGGATAAAAGGCTGAAACAAACCTCATCTGATTAGGAAATATTAGAATATAAAGAAATTGTTGAAATGCTGGAAAAAAAAATGTGGATTATAAGATAGAGGTAGCAGTTAAAGTGGAAAAACAAGCCAAGGGAATGACCTGGATAATGACTACTTACTAGATTTACAAGACATTTGCTAAAGCTTCAAAGAAGCTTTTGAGATGGGAAAAAGAAAAACTGAAGAGAGATCAAATCTTATGAAACATCTGAATGAATTAAAGATCAAGATTACTAGAAGTAAAAGGAAGGAGTACAAAGTTGGTTTGTTTGACCAAGGTTCAACTAAGACATGTTTCTATAATACAGTATTCTGAGAACCTTACAGACTTTTTGCTGACACCAGGGCTGAAATGTTAATGATTTATGGATTTGCATATGGATAAGGGATGGGTTATGGGAGAAGAGATACTTGCATGTAACCTTATTGAGGGTGAAGAATTACTAAGATTTTACTTGTGATAAAGATTGGAAATCACTTCTTTAAATATTTTTCTCTTTTTCTTATTTTTCCCTTTTCCCTTTTTCTTTTCTCTTGTACTTTCTAGTCTCTCTTTATTTTTTTTTCCTTTCTGAGTTTAGTTTGTATTGTCTTTTATTATTGTTTTTTTAAAAAAATTCAACAAAATTTAAAAAAAAAATCAATTTCAAAGCAGCATATCCATTTCAGTATGCCAGTCTTAGTGTGGGTAACTATATTTCTTTGAGCTTCAGTATCTAAGATTCTTTATGCAGCAGTCTTTGTTGTCCAGAGACATTCGGACAAGAAACAGTGAGGCCAAAACTCCTAATATAATTTTTAAGTTGTACAATCCAAGGTATCTAAGGTCTCTAACTGAGATTAAGTCTGTTCTATCAGATATAATTTTGGGAGTCTATCACTTTCCATAGAATTAATTATATGTCCTAATTTTTGATTCCACCAA